GAGAAGAACAAAGCATAAACTAGAAAAGTACCAGAAAATTAAAACGAAAATGAACTTAAAAAGAAACAAATTTAACTAACACCAGTCCCGACAACGGCGCCAAAAATTGACAGGTTGTCGAGCCTGTGCAATAATAAATGTCTGCTCAAACAAAATATAATTTCTATAGATAGTGATAAGTAGGGTTGAATTCATAGGGATTGGGGATATTTGCCTCTTTTGAAGTTCAAACAAACAATGGGGGTTTTTTTTTTTTTTTATAGAAATTAACAATAAGTTATGCTAATCGAATATTGCAATTAAATAAAAATTAGATGGCAAATTGCAAAAACTCAAATAGTTTTTGACAAACTCTAGTCAAGAAGCAATTTCGGAAATGGTTCTCCTAATTGATCATCGATGCAAGAATAATTTCATATATAAACTGATAAAAAAGTTATAATTGTCAAACAAGTGATGACAATCAATTTCTCCTTAATTATCGATAGTTAAGGTAAGACCGTTAGTTATTGTCCTAATTGCAAAATAACCCTAGGTACGACTGTAAAATTCAATTTCACAATTGCTTTAAGATTTAGAAAAATCCTGTTCTACATAAACAACACGCTACGAGGGTTGTTTACAAATTAGCCCGTATATTTTCCTAATATAATCCCAATTATATCAGTTACCACTAATTTAGAATAATTAAACAATTACAGATTTAATTACTCTAATTGGTTTTAGGTTATTGAATTAATCTAACATCTGGACCCATAATACTTGAATAATACAATAACAATAAAAAAATAAAATAGGAAATATACGAATACTAGAAAATAATAGGAAAAAGTAAAATCAGTTAGATCTCACAATTTAATCTGAACCAAATCCTCCGTTGTTCCTTGACTAGAAATAAAAGTTTAGTTCATCTCTGTCGAGGGGATCCTATGCAAAATTGCCGAAGTAAATGGTGAAGGCATTTTTCCTCCAATTGAATATAATGAAAAAAATGATGGAATAGTCCCCCAAAAACAATGAATAGTCAACCCCCTAGAAGAACTAGCCGACAAAGTACGAAAACAAAAGAAAGAAAAATCAAAGCTGTCGGACCGCCTCTTCCTACATAATTTTCCTTCCTATCCGGCTACTAAGGGGAATAAAAGGGAAGACTCCTAGTCTCTGTTAACCTCCCTCCTCTTTTGAAAACTACCAAAAGAAGAAAAAGGAGAGTCCCCCAAAATTGCTCCTCGTCTAGCGCAGTTGATCACTGGATAAGGAATACCATCTCCGTTTGGACTCTTGTTTCCTTTTACTACTCCAACTCTTCTGCTGGCTATCGTCAAAATTAATTTGACTAACCCGAAGGTGTACAACTTGACAAATTTGCACTTTTTTATGATATTTTGTTCCAACTCTCTGCAATAAGCACAAATGCCAAAAATGAATAAAATCTGCTCATTAATGCACATTCGATAAGGTAATAGGAGGAAATTAATTATAAAATAGATAACAAAATTGTGACCTATCATACCCTTATTTAGAAACTAAAGTGGTTGAAATGACTAAAATATATATACATAATATGCATGACATTTTAATCCCGTACGATTTATGTTTTACCATACATCTCTCTTATAATTTAGTGTTTTACCATATAATCCCCTTATGATTTTTAAAATATATACATAACTCAACCTTTTGATACATTAACATAATTTTGACCTTTACGATCGAGTTACTTTTGTCCCTATAGAAGGGATAGAGCTAGAGGTAAATGATGGCTTTTGAGCATATATAGAATTAATTTTTTACATGCTAACAGTGTAAATTTAAATTTAAATTTATATAATGTGATATGATGTAAATTTGTTGATGTAAAAACAATTATATACTGGCGGTATATAAAAAAATTAATTCTAGTACCCATTGTCCGGACCAATTTAGACATAAGATGTGGTGGGGTACTCTTTTCTTGTTTTCGTGGTTTATTTGAATTGTCTATGTTCATATTAGTTGAATTGTCTATGTTCATATTTTTTCTTATTCAACTTAAATAATGTGCAAACCAGGAACAGAAAAAGGAGCGAGAGAGAGGGAAAGACAAAAGCTTGAATGTGATTACTTAAGGAGTGGCGTCAAATTCCTTAAGACTCTGCGTAAGCACTTAGCTAAAAACTTGGGAACCTAATAATTAGGGACCAGCCGCAGCAGCTACTAAGTAGACAATCAAGAAAAAGAGACCATAACCTTTTCCGTGGACGCAAGTTTTTGTTCCTTAATTTCTTAGTTAGTGTTTTAATATTTAGCAGTTAATGGGAACAAGAAATGGAGAAGATAATGGCGGAATTGTGACTACAAAAATTGTCTCGTAATTTTGTGTGATTAGGAACAAGAAAGCAAGACAAGCATCCTAGAACAAGTTCTAGACAACGAATATTCTAGCACAAATTATTTGTTGAGTTCTAGAATCCTCTACTACCTTTGATTTGGTTGGGGACGGCAGTCAAATGGCATTGTATTTATCTCGAAATATTTATTCAAATTTAGAGAAATTTAAAAATAACAAGCCAAAAAGGTTTTAATATTTTGTCGTAGAGACAATGTTGCAACTTTTCTTTTTCTTTGGTCATACATCGACTATGGGGGAAAAGGGGTACAGGAGCAATCGAATTCTAAAAATCGAGGAAAGATGAATAACCATTAGATCACACGAATGCGATAAGTACTTACTGGATTTAAAAGTAGCAATTGGTGGGAGGCCACAAAATTGTGAGTAAACAGCAATTAGGCACATATTATTCATCTCGTGAACTTTCTATCAATTTCTAGCGAGTAACTGGAAAAGGAAAGTTAATTTTGTATTCAAAATATTATAAATAAATTAAGTTACATGCTAAAAATTTGAGCATATATCAAACCAAAAACGTGCTAGTATAGGTTGTAAATTCCTAAAGTGGCTTTCAAGAATCTTAAAAAAAAAATTAAAGAGTCAAAAAATATCTAATTAATAACACATGAAAAAGAGACCCTTCATTTTCTCAAGATTTAAAAATTCTGGTTCTAATCTTCCTTCCCTTACCTTTGAATCCTATCCCTACTGCTTGAAAAAAAAAAACCTGCATTTTGACTTGTGGCCTAAATTGCTGAAGGGCAGAGGACCCAAGTGTCCTGTTACAATCTACCACTTACCAACCATTATTCCTTCATGCTGCCATCACCAGCCTCTCATTCACTATAAAATGCAAGACCCCGGTTCTTATACCTGCTAGTTGCTAACAAACTGCTACTATTGCCCATAATTCAGCTTTCTTTTCATCACCTCTAGCGAAAAAATCCTTTCTTTTTTTTTGCTTTGCTCGAATATCATCTGAAAATATGGCCGGTGACAAGGTGGTTGTGTTGGGTACATATGGGAGCATGTTTAGCATGAGAGTCCAAGTTGCTCTGGCCGAAAAAGGCATCGAGTATGAAAACAAAGAAGAAGACTTGGCTAACAAGAGCCCACTTCTTCTTGAGGTGAACCCTGTTCACAAGAAAATCCCAGTTCTGATTCGTAATGGAAAGCCTGTTTGCGAGTCCCTTATCATTGTTCAGTACATAGATGAAGTGTGGCATGACAAGAATCCCTTGCTGCCATCTGATCCTTACCAGAGAGCTCAAGCTAGGTTCTGGGCTGACTTCGTTGACAAAAAGGTAACATTTTTTTCTTATGGAAACTCTAATTTTGTCAACTGCTGTTCAATCAGTTATTCGGGCAAGCATTTCTACTGTCTTTACCAAGATCGTCTAGTCATGGAACTAAGCATTTCTTAACCTATTTTCACTAGATTATTTTAGGCAAACAACATAAGCAAGCAGGACAAGTTAGATATGGGATAAAAATATTATGTTAAGGAGGGATTTTTCTGTTCAATTTTTTTCTGAGAAAATTAAGGTGAAAGGCAGGTTTATGATTGTGGAAGGAGGATCTGGGCCACAAAGGGAGAAGAAAAGGAGGCAGCCAAGAAGGAATTCATAGGGATTATGAAAACATTGGAAGGAGAACTTGGAAATAAGCCTTACTTTGGAGGGGAAGACTTTGGATATGTGGATGTGGCTTTGATTCCTTTCTACTGTTGGTTCCATGCCTATGAGAACTTTGGGAATTTCAAGACAGAAACGGAGTGTCCAAAGCTGGTGGAATGGGCCAAAAGATGCATGCAGAGGGAGAGCGTTTCCAAGTCCCTTGCTGATCCTCACAAGATTTACGAATTTGTTGTGTCCTTGAAGAAGAAGCTTGGGATCGAATAAAGTCTCTTTCAACTTTTTGCCTACATGGAGGATCGAATAAAGTCTACGCATGAATATGTATTTGGGATTGCTTTGCTTTTTGTGGGCTTCGTAGATCTGTCTTAGAATCCTTTAGTTTTGTTTGCTTGGCTTGGGAGAATAAAAGAGATTTAGCGTCGTCTTCCTGATATCCTGGACTGGTAGTAAATGATGTTTACTACTACTACTAGGATTTCATGGATAGGCTGTTTATATGTATAATTTCTTCCACAAATTTATAGGACAATTGTCTCTGTCTTTAGTTAAGCAGAGTGTTCGTACAATGTCCAAATGATGTTAATGTGATACTACTTTCTTTTCCCATATATTTCATATCATCTCCTTAGATAATTTTTTTTTTCAACTCTCTCCCTTCCTTTTATTCCTTAGTTATTGACTTGTGAAATATGTGCACTTCATTTACAAATTCTGTAAATCTCTAGACCAACTCATAAAAACAGCTCACTGACTTGGGGCGTGGAGCTCGAAGGTTCCAGGAATGATCCGGTACCATTTCATGGTACTCGTTCAACTTAAATAATAAAATCCATGACGACTAAATGTACTACTATTAAAAAAAAAGAGGAATCTGTACACACTTCTTTTGTGGTCAACCATCAATTTTCTTTAAAAAAAAACTAGCAAACCAGAGAAAACTCCTCCTCCTGCTTCGTACCATCCTCTGAGAAAATGGCTGGTCCTCTGAGAAAATGGCTGGTGAAGAGGTGATTTTGTTGAGTGTCTATGCGAGCATGTTCAGTATGAGGGTCAGAATAGCACTAGCTGAGAAGGGTGTCAAGTATGAACTCAAGGAAGAGGACTTGACGAACAAGAGCCTGCTTCTTCTTGAGATGAATTCTGTTCACAAGAAAGTTCCAGTTTTGCTTCATAATGGAAAGCCAATACTTGAGTCCCTTAATTGTCCAGTACATAGATGAGGTATGGCATGACAAGAATCCATTGGAACCATCTGATCCTTATGAGAGGGCTCAAGCAAGGTTCTGGGCTGACTTTATTGACAAGAAGGTACCCTGCAAGATTTCTGTGTGAATTTTATATTTTTCTTTTTTTTTCCGGAGAAAGTCTTCTTTTTGGAGGTGTTTCAAAGTATTGGAAATTAAGGGTAAAAATAAACACATGAAATACCTAAATGATAAAAGATCCAACTCCACCGGCACCACCCAGAACAAAAAGTGATTTACCAGCTGAAAGCCCAGCGCTTTCAAGGCACCCATGCGCTGTTTCAACAGCAACAGGAAGGCTTGCTGCCTCTGCAAAACTCAAATTCTTTGGCTTCAAAGCTAGTACCTTCTCCTTCACTGCAGTGTACTCCGCCAGTGACCCACATCCCATTGGGTACAAAGCGTGCTCGTGAATGTATCCGTATACTTCATCCCCGACCTTGACTTCCTTCACTTTGCTTCCAACTCTAACTACCACAGCCGCAACATCATATCCAGAAACAGTCTACCAGATTGAAAAAAAAAAAGGAACAGTAAATCTACACAAGGACTACCTAGTAAATAAAACAAACAACAAATTTTCCGCTGAAAAAAAAATGAAAAAAGGTATTTACTGGGGTGGAGAATCAATGGCCTTGAAATAACCATGCATGTGTTTGAAGTCGATTGGATTCAGTGATGCAGCAACTACTTTGATCAAAACCTGGTCATCATTTAGGTCAGGAACATCAGCCTCGGATCCCAATTTAAGGACATCTTCGGGTGTCCCATATTGGCCATAAACCCAGGCCTTCATTTTAGAGGGGATGTTAACTGGAGTACTGGTTGCCATGGCCTGTAGGCCCTCAAGTAATATGTTAAAACAACCCAAGTTATGAATCAGAGCTAAATCGCAACGTTGCTGTGGACAAATGAGGAAAAGACAGACGACTAAACGAAACGAAACGAAACGAAACGAAACTGGGAGGTGACTTTATTGATAGGAATGATACATTAACAAGCCAGAAAAGGTCTTTATATAAGACCATTCACTGACAAAATCTAATTTGAAGTTAGAACTAAACTATCAAATCATACTAACAATCCGAAACCACAATTGAATAATAATAAAACAAGTAGTTTGTTGAATAATTAAACTAATACTAAAAAGATTTGGTATAATATCCGAGAAGGCTGAATAATTTGACATTCTCATAAGTTCTTGTTTAACAAATACAAAGTCGATTGCTTCAATTAATGGAAACCGTATCTCCAATACAACGTTGCCAGAAATGTTAGGGGCCACTTGGTTTAGGGGTTTTGGTACTTGGAAATACAATAATTCCAATACTGCACGCTTGGTCCAGTATAATGGAAATTAAAATATTGAAATCATGCAGCATTAAAGTAAATAAATTGACTTGTTTTATTTCTATTAAAAAAAAAAAAAAAAAGAAATCATGCCTTAAAATTTGGCCATTCATGATTCCTAACTAAATTGGGAGAAATTGACCAAAACCCTCATTAGTAGGCCCTCTATCCATTATTCTATTTCCCTTTCCAATTCCAAAGTAAGAACCAAGTGCCCCTTAATGTCAACCGCAAAACCAATCCCTTGAAGGGATTCGTTAAAAAAGACAAAAATGTTTAGGTGATTGAAAATGAGCACGCAAATTGTATTAGAATATTATTATGGTGGAATACGATAACCTATTATGAATAATGTATTGTTTTACTCAGCAATTATATTGACAGAATATTATGTAGTACAAGTTACTACACCTAATACAGACAGATTTTTTTTCCAGTCATTAGAATTTCATCTTAATCCTACGCTACTTGGGAAGGGCGGATTCCAACCAGGCAATATATGCGGGTTAGAGGGAGAGAACTTATCTCTAAACCAATTAAGTGCACTACTGCACCCTTTGAACTTTTTGTCGAAGGGAAGAACGGTGCTTCACTTCTTATACACCAGCAATGGTCGAACTTTTAACTTAGTGCACGGTAGAGCCTTAATAAAGATAGATAAGTACAAAATTTCTTAAAGTTATCAACTGATATGATATGATTAAATCGTGCTTTTAAAAATAATTCTTAAGGTAAATTACTCATAAATCACGGTAGAGCCTTAATAAAGATAGATAAGTACAAAATATCTTAAAGTTATCAACTGATATGATATGATTAAATCGTGCTTTTTAAAATAATTCTTAAGGTAAATTACTCATAAATCCATGTGCTTTTGCGTGACACCACATTAATTTCCTAAGGTTTCAAAATATCCATACAATGTGATTTTATGTGATATGATTAAATCATGATTTTACAATAATTCTTAAGCTAAATTACTCATAAACCCATGTGTTTTTCCATGACACCACATTAATTTCCTAAAATTTCAAAATATCCATATAATGTGATTTTATGTAAAGCAAAAATTTAATGAAAAAAATAATATCTATAATGCCATTAGTTGAAATGCAAATATTGACCTAACTTAATTATTAAGGGTCTAACGACATTGAATAAAATTAGAAGGGGGAATTATGTTGGTAAATACAAAATTATATGAAGGTTAAGTCGATATTTGTGCAAAATCAAAGATTATGTGAATATATTATAATTTCATCACACACAATTTTAGAGCGAGTATTGGTCAATTGCAGTGTCCTGTTTTGTCCATTGTTAATCTTTAATAGAGTCACCTAGTATTGTGCAAAAGCACATGGGTTATGTGAAACTTACCCTAATGCTCACTTCAACTTGGCCTAGGCGCAGTGGTATATTTTATAATGAGCCTTTTACCTTCCCTTATGCAGTTGTTTTTTTTTTTGGTTTTATCTTTCATCTGCATTAACAATCCATACTATTGCCCAGATTCCCTATAAATCTGAAATTAGGCTTTTTTTTCCTCCCATCTACATTAACACCCTTTACCATAGCCTAGATTCCCTACAAATCTGAATTTTGGCTTCTGTCTATAAAATTCAGGTTTGATCTCCAAATGAATTGCTTAGACATTGGAGAAATAATTATGATCACTACAAGTTTTTGTCCCATCTACCTGTTTCTATTAAAACTAATTTGTTGGCTAATGAGCTTTTTTCCCTTCTCTTTTCATTGTTACCAGTTGCAATAACTCTGAATTTTGAGTTCCATTAACAATATACAGGTTTATTCTCTATATCTTGCAAATGTTGTGACATTTACAGAATGCATCTTGAGAAATTTTTGATAACCTATTCTATCAACTTCAGCCTTTTCCTTTTCTTGACATAGCCTTTTTATTTTCTTTGTTAGTTTTGCTACAGACTAGCACAGAGAGGATGGCTTCAAGATCGTCTTCAATAGGATGTTGAGAGAAAAATAACGTGCAGCTTACTTGAGAGTTAAAAATGTCAACAAAGCTTAGATGATGGAAATTGGATTTGCATCTAAAAATGAGCCTGCAAACTGTGTTAGAATATAATTGTGGTCGATTTCATGACCATATGATAATATAATTAATCTTTTGTCTCGTCAATTATATTGGCAAATTCTTGTGTAGGACAAGCTACTACACGTAATCCAGATAGATTAAGTTTAGAGTTTGTTGTAGTTTAATAACTGAAAGGATAAATAAGTCGCGCTTTTACAATAATGTTTAGCTCGACTTGAATTGCAAAATCAGGGCCGCACCCGAAAGTAGAGTGTGAGAGGATTTTCAAGGGCCGGGAATGTGACCTTTGCGTCGCAGTCCTGAGCAGTCGCAGTGCACTCTGGAATCACAGGGAAACATGCCAATTCTCACGTTCAAACAATGTATAGATCAACAATTAAACTCAACAGTTATATATTCACATTTCCATTACACAACAGTAGTAAAACATATTGGACCGTTTTTTTTAGGGGGTTCTAGTCCATCTGTGTTAGAATCGAAGCGCGGAACACATGACTATTGAAATATCAAGTATACAATAATTTAATGAGAAACAATCCACAAGTATAAAAGATAAATGACACATAATATTTAACGTGATTCGACTCTATCATTAAACCTACGTCCACGGAGAGAAATTCGTTCTTTATTATGAGAGGAAAAATCCTATAAAAGAATACAACTTGAAACCAAATCCAACCCTTAAATACCATCTCTTATCTTCCCTCCATGTATAAGGCTACATGTCACCCTTGTGTGCTCTTGTGTGTCTCTTTGTAGTATGCTAACCCACCTATTTATACTGAGCATTACCTAGTCAAAACCCAAATAATAACAAGAAACAGTGCTAATTTCTAAACTTCTACAGAAGAGGAAATAATCTCTAAATCCTAAACAAAATAGGAATTTTTTTTACTACAATTTCAAGTAACTAAAACCAAGTACGAAACTAGTTACTTTCGCACAAATTAATAAATCTGTTTAAAAGAAATTAAGCCAATTTCCTAACAGTCTGGCTAATTTGGGCGTACAAGATGAATTCAGGCTTGACAACTGTAGAGCAAGGCTGGTCGCCCTGGCTTGCAAAATGGTTGGAGGTGGCAGTGATGGTTCTTTAGATCCGTGTGCAAGAGTTTTGCCCCATCGATGAGTATGAAAGGAAAATCCTTCATACATACGTCCAACCACAACTTCCCGTCACAAACGATAGGTAATGACGCAACAAAAAGATTGTCCAAATTCACATCCTACATATATAGGCACATAGAAAGTGAATTGCACTCTAGAGACTGACTTTGAGTGTGAAAAATTCTTCTGCAGGTATGAAGCAACTGGAATACACCAGAATTTCTGAGGGATGCAATGTCGTTCAAAAAGTGCAGAGAAAGAATTTGACACCTATGAAATTTTTTGGCAGGGACACGGCCAAATATCCACCACTTATGAAAACAAGAAACCTTAGCAAGTCGCTCAAGTATTGACAAAAGCATACCTTGGTAAGTAACTTAATTAACTTTGGCTATTAGTAGTACATTACATCAAGAAGGACATCATCATTTTTTGGGACTCTCCTAGTGAATTTTTTTTTTTGGTGGCAGCCATGACGTTCAAATGGGCCCGCAAGATCCCTATGAAGGCTGTGTTGCGACAATGTGGCTTTAGATGAGAATGAGATCACAGTATCACGATATGGAGGACTACCCTCTTGCATTTGACCTATAGAAGCGCAACAATTTTGCATCATGGCGGCAGAACGAGCTGAGAGGATTGCTAGAGGGCTCGAGGTCTGACTATTATTGCTGGTGCTTGGATTCCAGCAGCCAAAGCAATTATTGAAATTTTATTATGTATAGAAGAAGTGAAGATTTTTTTTGCTTCATGCCGCAAAATTAATATACACACCAAAATTACAACTTCGCATTTAATCCGTCATTATATGCTTTGTTTACAACAGCATCATGTAAAGTGCTTTCTAATCCGAATTTATGAATAATAACTGAATAAATTACTTATAACCGCCTATGATTTTACACAATGCCAGATGATCCCTCTTAGGTTTTAAAATAGCTACATAATCCCCCAATGGTTTTATATAAAGTGAAAAATGAACGGAATACACAATTAATTACGGCATTATATCAAATGCACTCTAAAAATGTGTGATAAAATTTTAATCTCCATGTAATTCCCTTATGATTTGTATAAATATCCATTTTACCCTCCATAATTTTTGTATTTCTCCATGAAATCCCCATATACTTTATATAAGGCAATTAAGTCATTGATTGATTTAGTATTAATATGAAGGCACTATTGGTATTTCAATTAACGGCGTTATATAGGCTACTTTTCATCAAATTTTTACTTTACATAAAATCATAGTGGAGTGAAATGAAAATTTTGAAATGTTAAAAAGATCATGTGATAATAGA